CTGATACAGTTTCCAGACACTAGTCTAAGTGTCTTACATGTATTTTCTCATTTTAAATGTGCAACTATCACAATAGATTATAACTTGAATTTTCCTACTTTCAACCTTGATAAAACCAAAGAATAAAAAAAATGAAACATAATGATACAGTTTAAGGTGAGTGGAATGACAGTCTAATTGTGCTCCGAACCTTGACGCTCAAGGCTTCGTACATCTGGACCCATCTCAGATAAATGCAGAAAGGCTCTCTATAGGACTTTTGATAAACACAGCAAACCTGAGGAGAGAGCAGGAGCAGTGTCAAGAAGGAGCAGGAACAAAAAGATGGAGGCAGAAAGAGAAAGCAAGCTCAGTTCTGTAAGGGATCCCAAGCTGGGAATGAGTTGAGAAAGAGTCACAGCAAGGGCTCTGAGTAACCCTCACGACTCTTTGTGAAGCAGTTTTCTACTCGCACTCTTTCTGATTCCCAGTGCATTTTGAGAAGACCATACATTTTCATCCTTGTAAAGAATGCTGAAAAAACTGCATGGTAGGATTTGTTTGCACTGTATATTTAGATTATGGTAGCAGAGGTTTTAAGGAGAGCTGCATGTAGATTAGTAAGTGTAGGTACGTTGAATGAGTGCATGGAGAATGTGTACTGAGATGTTTGAAGTTCAAAGAAAACTTCTAACAATTAACAAACTTAGCACACAAAAGAAATCGGAGTAAATGTTGCCCAAGTCTGACCATTCTAGGCTGATATCTCTATTTCCCATTTTTGTGTCCATTGACAATGATGCATTTTCTAAATGAAGATTTTCTGTGGACAGCACAGATCTCTGTTTTGAAAGTTTATCTTAATGGGAATTCCCTAAGAAAGTCATCATCACATTGAATAACCAACATTCGTTAAACTCAGAGATAAGTTCTGTTGCAAACACATGCCCTTTTTTTCAGATTTTTAAAAGCAAGCATTGGGGGAATACAGAAGTAGATGGGATAAAAAATATTTCAAAAAGATCTTGGAATGAGAGAGACAGATGGGTGGCGGAGGGGGGGAGAGAGAGGGGTAGAGAGAGAGAGAGTTAATTGGGTGTGGGGGTGGAGAATTGGGGAAGGAAAAATAAAATATTCTGAAGATAAACCACAGTATTTGTTCTTTAAAGTGTAATATAAAAAGTATTATTAAATCATGAAATTATTAATTCCTATAAAATAATAGGTAAAGACAATGTAATTAGTTCCAAACAAAACATCATATCTTCTTGGAAACTAACTTTTACTTATTAAGCATTATAGCGTGTAAAGAGAAAGACAGAATTTTAAAAGGATATAGGTCTATTTCAATCACTTAACTGTGTTAACGTAGGGAAATATTTAAATATCTCTGAGACTCTTCCTCTAATTATGTAATGAGATACTGTGAGTCAAAGAGCTTTTAAGAGTTCTGAAAATACAATATCTTTGTCTAGTAACTGATATTTAATATTCTGATTGTTAATATAAAAACCAGGTTGAGAATCCACAATTTTCCATGAATGTTTCTCAATAGACTATTGATTTACTTTCCCCATAATTATATGAACATTTTACATTGTTTATTTAAAATGGTTTACTTCAAATGTACTTTATAGGGAAAACTCTAAAAGTAATCTTTATTAATTTTTAAATTGTTTCCAATATTCTTGAGACATAATTGGCATATAACATTGTGTAAGTTTAAGATATGATTTTATACATAGTGCAGGTCCTGTACAATGTTATTTCCTTCAACACCATTTTATTATAGCACTGCTTAGGGGGGAAAAATTCTATTTTGGGCTGGGTCCTCTGTGTGGAGATTGCACATTCTCATGTCTGCATGAGTTTTCTCTGGGGGCTCCAGTGTCTCCCCACACCCCAACCCTGTGCACTTGAGATGAACTGAACTGGCATGTCTGGATTGTCCCAGTGTGAGTGCATGCGGGTGTGCATGGCTGCTCAATGGAAGGGTGTCCAGGCCATGATGTGTTCCCGTCCGGTGCCCTGAGCTGTTGCGGCCTTGAACTGAATAAGCGGCTTATAGAAGAATTATCTTACTTGTTCTTATGAACCTTTCTTAAATATCTGTATAGCTCACATTTCTTTCCATGTTTAATATTAGAAGTGTTTGTGGTCTTTATTTAGAAGTTTTGTGATGGTTTGTGATGAAATATGCCATAGTAATTAACTTGTGTTTGTATCAATTAGTCTATGGTAAATTGGGTTTCCTTATACATAGTTTTGCTTAAATTTGCAGTTTCCAAGAACTTCTTGATGACAGTAAGTGAGGACTGTGTGTGTGTTTGTGTGTGTGTGTGTGTGTGTTTGTGTGAAAATGAATATAAAGATACTCACTAGAAGGACTTGTATGCATGCATATAAGAATAACCAATGGACACAAAACTCTGGGGAGGGAGGGCATGTATGGGAGTGGGGGGGGGGGCAATGGTAAAATATGTACATATATAATACCTTAATAAAAAATAAAATAAAATATCAAAAAATAACAAATAAAAAAAAGATACTCACTATATGCCTCTACACAATTACTAATTTGAAACAAATCACAAATTACACATTTAATCCTAAAAATAAAAGTTTTTTTAACCTTTTTAATTATCATACAATTTTATAAGACAACTAATTCAAGTACTGTAAGTACATTAAAGTTACATTAAGAATTTTTCAACATGCTTAAGTAGAAATTGATAACAGGAAAGAAAACACCTGGGATTAAAATGGATAATTGCTAGGATTAATACTATTTCTAAATTCAACTTCCTTCTAAATTAATCACTTTATAATTTAATTAGGTTTCCATCTAGGGGGGAAAAAAGTGCTAATAAAAGCTCTGATAAGAAAAAGTAGGCTTAGACAATTGGTTTAAAAAGAATCCGCATAATCACGGGGCTTAATTTTTTATCTGCAATTCGGCTCAGAGTCATCAGAATGACTTTTATATCAAAGGCTTTCCATGAGTGACAAGAGCAAGACTTGCTTTGTACTGTTTAAAAGTCATTATTCCATGAAATAGCTTTAGCCTGCCAAAATGAGAAAGAATAACAGATGCTGTTTGTGCATTATCTGCATTATTTCAGCCAGCCATCCTTAGACATTTGGGTCAAATTTCTGGAAATTTGTTACTTGCTTTTGACAGAGGAATCATGTATCCTAACCTCTCAGTTTGACCTTTCTAATTGGCGTCCATTTGTAATACTTTGCTTTCTGTGGCAATTATCCTTAAGCTGGCCTAAGTTTAGTCTATTTTTTTTTTCATGTATTATACTAGAGTATGAATATAAAAAAAAATCAATATTTTCATCCAAAACAAACTAGTAAGAGAGAGTTTTTATTCATGCACTGCATATTATTCTGATGGATTTTAAAGGTGTTTCAATCTTTTATAAGCTTGAAGTTGAATGAGGAGAAGTTATTCCATGCAGATGTTTGGTCATTGTTTTCTATTCTATATGTGGATTTTTCAAAATCAAATTTTTAAAATAAAGTGGCATTCCCAAAGCAAGCAGAAATTTGCCCCTTAAAATAATTTAGAAAATCAAAAAGCAATTATTTTATGGACACTATATTATAGCTTACTAGGATATAATAACCAGCTCAAAAAATAAACTAGGTAAATCATTTTATAATTCTGGTAGTGGGTGATTAAAAAAGGTAATAAATGTTTTTCATTTATCTTAATGAACTGAAGTTTTGGTAGATTATTATATTTAGATCATCATATACTAATAAAAGTAATATTTGTTGAGCACTTGCAATGTAACAAGCACTGATCTAAAAGCTTTACATGTGTTATCTCATTTAATTCTCAAATAACTGTAGAAATCTCTTGAATTCTATTGCCTCCTCCAACTGGTATTTAACAAATCATATTTAGATGGTAGGGGAAGTCTTACACACTGAATCAAATGGAGTTCTCGTTGAGTTTTTTAAAGGTCTGTAAAGTAGAAATCATAAATAGTAAATTTCAATTGATTGCACTCAATTAAAACTTCCTATTTATTTTGAAAACTGGAAAAGTGATCTTTCTCTAATTCATGTAATAAGAATGAAAGGGAGTAAGGATTAAAGGACTATCATTAAAGACTTGCTTTTTCAAATGACTTAAATGTGACAAAACTTAGTATACTATAGAAAAAGCATAAATCATTTTTAAGTGCTGTGCATATATACCAATAGAAATTAACAGAATCTGTGTATAGGAAACTAAGCTAAACATTTTATTACCTTTAAAATACATTAATGCTTCTCAAGTAATCAACATTTTCTGAACAAAGCAAAGCAACCTATAATTTATAAATTGCTAACAAAATGTATATGGTTGGAAGAAATGTATATGAGTGCAAAATTAAGTCTTTATAGTTTTAAAAATAGTTTTTGATGCAACAAAAATATAAGATGAGTTTTAAAAATAGTTTTTGATGCAACAAAACTAAAAGATGAGTATTTCACAAATGGATCAAGTAAAATTTCTCTATGTAAGGTCAAAGTGGTCTAATTATTACATTTTTCTTATTAAAATAAAAATATGTTATATTACTGTGACCCAACTTTTGACATCATGAATAACTTGTAAAATTAAAAAAGAACCTGATCAACTAACACACATAATCATCATAAATATATAAATTTAAAATGTTATATATTATACTATGTTGTTTTCATATTTCTCTCACGTGGACAACTTTTAAACAATAAATAATGGCAATCACTTGGAGAATGTAATTTTTAAGAGCAATTAGCATAAAAAATGTTGTGGACTCTATCTTTTCAAGTAAATAAAATATTTACATGAGTACTTACAAAAACATATACAATATTTTGGTTAAATGTACATATAATTTTACAAAAACAATATACATTAAGTTCTCTGGGCAAATTTTCCTAACTACTTATTAATTTAGAAAGTCACTTCATCCCATTGTACAAATGTAAAATCTTTGTAACACCTTTGACAAATATAAAGTGGTTCTACTTACACTTGCATGGAGTTTTCCTTTTTTTGACATCGCTAAAAATTTGTTGCTGAAAACTCCTCGTATTCCTACAATCCCCTGAGACACAGCAAATATTTCCAAAATACCTAGGATGACAGAAATCCCAAAATAAAACACAGAGTCCTCCATATACCACTGTGAAGAATTAAATTTATACATAAATTATTTCCATTCTTTATTAATGTGATTTTTTTAAAAAATATATTTTAACAGTTTTTGTTATACTTGTTATTTAAAAAGAGCTAGCAATCAAATGTGCATTTAAAATGATAGCTTTCAAGATTCAAAAATGTAGTTCAACTTTCTTAATAATTCTTTTTGTTTTCTACAGTCACTTTTAGTAAATGTTTGACAATATAATCTTTTCAAGTTCTAAAGAAATTGAAGGACTTTGAAAACTATTTTTTAAAAATGATTCTCATGCATTGTTTTTCTATCAGAGACAATGCATTATTTAAAATTAAAGCACATAATGTCTGTACTGAAGATCAGCATAAACTCGTGAAAGTCTTAAAAACAATACTTTTTTACATGAAAGAAAACCATTCTCTCAAACCACCATAATTATAAAAGTACAAATCCATATATACCAACTGGATCATTTAGTGAGCGGCTTACTTAAAGATTACACATAACAAGATGCTAAAGGCAGTGTAACTCACTTGGGATTATTGTCTCAATGAGGTGTTAATGGATTATGGTTTGAGACAACTTGCATTTTTAATGTTTTTTTCTGGGGGAAAATCTAATGGGGGTAAATAAAACTTTAATTTTATTTTGTTAATACTTGTATTTGCTATTTCAAAGTTAACATTATCAAGTCAAAGCTCCTCTGTCTCCTATAATAACTTGAAAGCCCACATCTACTTAGTCAAGAAATTCACACACCCCAGTTCACAGAGCATTTTAAAATATGAGACTCAATCTGTATATAATTGGAATTCCTGCTTGTTTTCCTGTGTTATATGAACACAAGAAAAGCATGGAGCTTTTTGTTAATTGCCTACATCAAATTATAAAAAGGAAAAAAAAAAGAAAAGAACAGAGTAATATAGTTCTTGGTGCAACAAAGGGACCTGTCTTAGGAAGAAATGAAGGAAACAAGATGGGAATGACAAGGAAAAAATTTCAACTTTTCAATATTTAATATTTTGAGCATTTAACTGATTAAAATCTCAGTAAGACTCTGCTGAATAGAAAAATTCACCTGATTTTCTCAAAATAATCTCCCCCTGGAGTGTTTTAAATAGATTCAAATTTATTCAATTTACAAAAAAGTGGTATATTATGGATATGCATACATATTTATAAATACATATGAATATCTTTATGGAGCACTTTGTACAATGTGTGCTAATACCTAGAATTGCAGCAAATACTGCTGCTTATTTATTAAACTCAATTTCTGAATAATACTTCATCATAAAGCTTATGGGGGAAGGAGTAGCAGAACTATTATTTTTTTTTTATAAATGTTCTTAACCCAGAATAAAAAATAAAAAAAACACATCTCAAGAAAACTGCAGCTACCAATTTTGTAGTAGATATTTCTTTAGACGAAAAAATAAAACAGAAAACAAACAAATAAACAAACAAAAAAACACTCACAAACTATTTAAAAACAATTTCTTTTGCTTTTAGAAAGAAACTATCTCAAATTCTTTATTGCAAAATGTGTTCAAAATGCTATTTCTAATAGATTTTGCTATATCAATTGTGACTCAGATGCACATCCAAAGACTTAGAAGCACTATCATTTTATCAAATAGTAATGAAGTACACAGAATATTTTGTAAAGTTAAAAACACTATAGGATGTAGCAGGTTTAAGAAAGCATAAATAGGTATCCGATGCAAAGTTATATTTCTGTCAAAAGTACAGAATGATCTTGCAAAGAGTATTAGTAATTTTAATATCTGAGAGATGGGGAATGGAATTGCGAATACTGTGTAAATATGTTACAAAGTGAGACAGGGAGAATGTGAGAAACTCTAGGTGTGAGTGATAGCTGCAAAGGAAGCAATATGGAATGCATAGAAGAGACTGGGATGCATGTTTTCCCCAACTTATCCACGGCTCTGCATTGTTAGAGGTGTTTTAATCCATTCTCTGGAAAATTACCTGGTTTTGTAAATGCAAATGCATTGTGTACTGGTGAAAAAAAACACATGGTAGCATAAAAGATAAAAATGTCACTAAGTATTTGCATGCTAACATCTAAAAGGTCAAAATAAAAGGGCTCCAAAAGCATGTGTTTAGTGGAAACATTGCCTAGGTAAACTACTGGTTTCAACAACTAACATGTTCTATTTTTTTAAGAAGGACCCATTTTTACACATTTAACTTGTTTTCTGTACATTCTGTGTGAAGATATGTTATGTAAACTTTTCATTATAATGAATTTTATATATGAGGAAGATGAAGTTCATAATATATGTAAATTGTTATTTTATTACATACAGTATGGTTTCTTTTCTTGTAAGTCCCAGTACTGAAATTATAGATTGTCTGAGAATGAAAGGATTTTTATCATTTTAAGAAAATTATATCTAATTGAAAGCTTAAAAAATACTTTCACATATATCATTCTACTTAAAATTATGAGGACTATAGGGGGAGACACGAAATTCAATCAAATAATAGTTGTTGTTTTTTTCACATAAGCAACTTTGGTATCACCCTCTAAGTCTTAATGTAATTATGGCATAAAAATTGTGAATGTTGGTAAAATCAGAAATTCAAAAGTAATTTGAGTTTCCTTTTCTAAAATATCTGAGCAGATTCTATAAGCCCTATAATTCAATTTCCTGCCACCCCAAGAGATTACTATGGTTTTATTATGCCAAATCTAAGTAAATCACTAAAGGTGGCTTTTTTGCATAATATACTATATAATAAATCTATGCATTTTAAATCACACATATATAAATCCCAAGAAACATTTATCAAAAATGGATTCTTTGTTAATTTCAGTAATTTCCTAACTCTTATTGTGAGTCAGTAATAATACTTTGATGAAAATTTGCAATTTATATTGTAAATGCCAGGATGGTATCCTTAAGCAAAAGTGTGTAAAGGCAGAGTGTCTCTCCCAGATCAGAGATAGTCAATGAATGTTCCCTAAGTTGGGTTGTGTTCTTTGACCCTCTTTTCCTTTTCGGGACACTCACATGCACACATCCATATTTTAGCACTCTCCTGCTATTTGGGCCCTGTCTTGCTTGGGGAGTGGAGCAAGGGAATGGCAGTCAGTATAAATGAATTCACATTAGGGTACTAGCAAAACCGTGTTATCTTTCCTAGGATAGTCACATTTAAGAGGATTAAAAAAAAAAAGTGTAGTGCTCACAGAGGGAGTTTTCATACAGGAGTTTGGGGGTTGACATCTAGGTTGAAGGAGGCAAACATTTGGTGTTTCTCAGATTATATAATACACACACTGTTTAATCCATTTACTTACAAGCATAGGCATGCAATGTAAAATAAGTGTATTTCAGGAAGAAAATGTATACCTAGATTTTTTAGTCTGCTCCAGATTTTTTTAAACAATAGGACTCTAGTAGAGACAACTAATATAATCATATAGGCTTCTTTCTTTTCTCTCTATTCCTAACAAGACACAGATACTCCATATAAAGCCTTCAATGGCCCATCTGAAAATCCCCAAAGAAAAATAATTTAAAACTGAAGTTTCTCTATTTTTGTTCACACAGCAACAGGCGTGCTGTGTCATTATAAAGTCTGAGTCTTAAATATCCAGTTTATCTGTTTTCATGGATTAGATTAGTAACACAAACTAACTGAGCTTTTCTATGCAATAGATATAGATTCTGCTTTATCTAGGCTTGGGGGACTATATAAAGGTTGACTCTACATATCATCAAAATTGCTAGTGAATTCCGATTTCTGAAATATATGATTGGGATTTTCATTTTCATATGAAGACTTTGATTTTCTATGGTTATAGTCTTAAACTTTTGGTCCCAAAATTGAGAAATGCATAATTGTCTATGCTTTAATAGGCTAAGATAAGACAGCAGAAGCAAGCTATTGAAACTAACCTTAATCAATATAAATTATAGCAAAGCGTTTGTTTTTATTCAATAATTGGATTTCATCATCTATTTTTGTCCTATCTTTCTTATCCTTCCCTGGTATTTCCCCATAATAAGAGTAGATGTGCAATAAGCTTGATTCTTTTCTCTGTCTTCAAACCTTGGGCTAGCTATTGTATAAGAGTATATTAAATGGTATATTTTAGCTCAACAAATTGTATTTCAAAAATGTATGGCCAGTGTGTATTTCTCACGGTGAAACTGGAAGACATTCACAGTTGCAAAAATGTTATGTCACATTATAGTTGGGAAATACATATATATACATATATATACATATATATACATTTATATGTATATGGTGTACATATATATATATATATATGTTTGATCTCACAAATATCACAGAAAATTATTGAGTTTAAAAGAACCTGTTAGGTTGCAGCTTCATAGCAAAATGTTGACTCTTTTCTGAAGTAGAAAGCTGTAACACACATATACAAAAAAAATGTTTTCTGTCATTGCTCACTCATAGGCAGAAGAATTAGGTGATGAGGTAAAATTCTGATGTATCCTCTATTGTCCTCTATGATACCAGCTCTTTCAATGTCTCTTGTGAGACTTAGACAAATGCCTCCTCATGGACTGCAACCAACAGTCCATGACCAATGTCTTAGTTGGCATATGTCAAGAAACCATCAAGTGCTGTGCCTTCAAAGGGATATGTGTCCAACTGTAATTACTAGGCTTCTGTTTTTCTTTCACAGCTACTTAAGGGTAGAGACTCATTTTAAATTTCCAAATTGCATGCCATTCTAGTAAATATGACATATTCCATACACTCTTCATGAATCAATGGTAGCAAAATCTTATGAAGTAGTATTGGCCACTCCAGGCATCACAAAGCAGAAAAGTCACCAAGATTTGAACCCTTCAGTTATTGTTCCCTTTGTGACAAAAAATTATGGAAGTCAAAAACAAAAAGACACCCTCCCCCCCAAATGAGCCCAATAGTAACCAAAATATCAGGCTGGGTACAATAGATATCCTATATTGGGTGCATGAATGAATGGATGAATGAATGATCACATGCCATGTAAAACACACAGACTAAACTCTGTAAGGCTATGGTAAATTAGAATTAATTAGGAAAGTGTTAGTTTAAAAAAAAAGTTCTCTCAGTCACTGTTTAGAAAACATCCCTGTTCTTTTGTCGACATTTTTCAAAGTGAATTTTAAAATAAATTAGATCTTAGAAATAAAATATTGGTCAATGCCTTCTGCAGCTGAAAATATTCTCTATTGAGCTGTTCTCTTTTTCCTTCCTATACTTTTCTACAACTTCTCTTGGGCAAGGCCTAAACTGCACTTTTTTAAAAAAAAAATCTATATGAGAAGGGGGTGAATGTCTTGGGACTAAGTCTGTTTTTCAGAGATATCTAGCACATGAAACACACCCCAGACACTCTTTAATTCGCTGGGACCCAAACTGCTGTCTGATGCATGCTAACTTTGGGTCTGCCCTGGGGAACCCAGAAGTTATCCTCTGGGAATACTCATTTCCTAGATAAACTACAAGAACAGAACTTTAAAAGAAGGTTTTCACGTAAAATAAAGGAGGAAAGAGTCCTAGCAGTGGGCAAGGAGCCCGGATGTCTGATGGAGTAAAGGGTTTCGCGGAACAAAATGAGGATGAATGAAATTTCTGGAAGAGACCTAACTTTCCTGCTCCTGAAATCTCAGGAAATGCCCTTTCACCCTGTCACCAAAGGCGGTGAGTTGTTTTGTAATGGTGACAGGGACCTTACCACATAGAAATGGGCTCCCCTAAGAACTTGTGGGAGTCCCTGGGACTTGGGAATGCGCTTGTGGAGGGCCTCTCCCCGTGTGTCCAGGCCACCCCGCTGCCACTTGCAGCACAGCTGGCTGGGGCTCCGGGAGCCGCTAGCCTGTGGCAGGGGGTGGGCATCGCTCTTCCAGAGAGAACCTCCGCATCCGGGAGATCATTTTCACCCTCCTCCTGAGCCCCAGGCGAGAGGCTTGCCAGCGGTCCCCCCAGCGTCCTGGACACCTCCACTCTGGAGGTCAGCCCCCTGTGGCCCCGCGCTCCTCCAGAGCCTGGAGAACCAGAAGCTCGGCGGCCTGCATGGTCCTGGGTTTGAGCCGGAGCAAGTGACCAGCCCGTCTCCCCATCCTTCAGTGAGGAATGTAGTCACTCAACAGATTAAGTGAGCGATTTCCGAGGGCCAGGCTTTGCTCTGGGCAGAAGAGGGTGGAGACTGAGGTACACCTGGGAGCTACCAAACTGATTCCCATGAGCCTTGACAGCATCGCTGTCTCCGGGCCACCTTTCCCCTCTCTGGGGTCCATCCTGATGGATGGACTAACTCCGGGGGAAGAGGGATCTGGCCCAACTGAGGAAAAGCCTCCCGACCGTCCCAGTGGATCTCACACCCGCAGCTGCCTGGGGCGGTGAGAGGAAGCGGAGGAGAGAGGTGAGATCTGGAAATGCTGATCCAGGGGAAGACATATGAGAAAGTAGTGAAAAAAAGTGCTAAAGAGAAAACTCAGAAAATGTAAAACCTGGCTTTAAAAAACAACAACAACTACACAATTTGCACCTGTACCGAATTGATGCTCCTCTGAATTTCTTTTAGAATAAAGAGCTTTACCCTGATTGTCCTTGGGGACCAAAGGCCGGCTGCTCTTTCTAAAGGCGCTGTCTGGGTCTCAAGATACTAAACGCTACTAACTCTAGAACTAAAATGCTAATGTCCACTACGACTGCCTTTCCTAAACGTGCCCAGTTTGCCAGATCACACTATCTTCTTCCAAACAGAGACATCTAGACTCCCCTAGAATATACATATACATTATTCTTTATGTGTGTAACGTGCACATACGTATACCCCATAAATATACCTGTGCATATGTTAAATATATATTTATCACATATATATGTATAAAATTTGGGGGTTTATGCTGTTGGTTCAGGGGATATGTCAGTTTTATTCTTCTAAAAAAAAACAAAACAAAAAAAAAAAACTTAAGTCCTGGGTAAGGAAAGGGGACTCACTTGGGTGCCTAGTGAAAAATGCTAGCCTCATAAACAGAAGCAGAAAGTAGAGAGACACTGAAGGAGGAGGAAGAAGGAGATGTCTGGGTGTGTTTTTCCCAGGCACAGGCTGGAGGCTCCCCTTTGGGACCAGGCAGACTGGAAACATGGTACCTATCTCTGCGCACCAGCCTCCGGGAGGCTACCCTTCGGGAATCCCCATTCCTTACCCACTCGCGGGGTGCGTGTGTGCACGCCATACAAACGCATCTCCCCCACCCGCCAGGCTGTTTCCTCAGCCCGTGGCCCCGGGGATCCCCGGCTGTCCCTCCCCAGCGTCCGGCCACCCGCTTAGGGCAGGCTTTTCTCTAGAGAGCGAGCCACTCACTTAGCATATTGGCTTCGTGGGAGCCGTTGACTTTGCCATCCGGGTAGATCTGCAGATGGAAGCCGATGCCCACCCTGCAGTAGAGGCTGCCGGTGCGGCGGCCGGAGGGCGTCCACTGGAAGCCGCTCTGCTCGGCGCCGCTGCCCGGGCCGCCCGGGGGGGAGGTCGCGGGGGAGGAGGCGGAGGAGGGCGGCGCGCTGCTGCTGCTGCTGCTGCTGCCGTTCCGGCGGCCTCGGGAGCCTCCCGGGACCTTCTCCGCCGCCGCAGCCGGTCCGAGGTGCCCTTTGGGGACCAGGCGCTTCCCCCCGTGAGCCCAGGCGCTGAGGGTCAGGTGGCTGAGGAAGAGGAGGAGGAAGGACAAGCTCATGCTTCCAGCCGCGGGGGTCCGAAGTGCATCTTGCGGGGCCGGTGGCTCTGGGCTCCGTAGCCCCCGCGCGGCTGTGTGCCTCTGGCGCTGCCCCCCTCGCCGCGCCGGGTGGACATAGCCTCGGGGGGGTGGGGGGGAGAGAGAGAGAGTGAAGCAGGGGAGAGAGAGAGAGAGAGGCCACCCGAACGGATCTCGGCGCTGGCACCGGGATATTTATAACGCCGGTGATCTCACTGCTCCGCGCACGCCTGCCGCGAGGCTCCCCCTCACCCGGCGCTCCGTGCTCTCTCCGGCCCGGGCGAGGAGGGCGCCTGCGGGTCTTGGGGGCGGGGGGGTGGAGGGGGGAGGGGATGAGGCCGAGGGAGGGGGTGGGGAAGCCAGGTGGAGAGGAGCTGCGCACCCCAGCGCGGGGACGCGCGCGCGCGCGCCGGGGCCACGCACCCCCGCTGGTTCCCACGCGCCCCGCGGCCGTCCCGGGCCCCGCGCCAAGGCCGCGCGGAACTCAGCTGCTCGCGTGCAGCCGGGCCCCCGGGGCCGCGACGGAAACGGGGGCTTAAAGCCTGGAAGTGAGTTCTCCTCCTCTCTGCCTCCGCCTCACGCCTGCGCCCCGGCGGCCGAGCGCGCTTGCCTGCCTGCGCGGGCGGACCCGATCTCCAGGTTCCCTTCCCGAGGCCCGGCAGACCCCACTTTCGCTGCCTGGCGCCCCGGGGATTCCCCGGGAGGTGGGTCCCGCTGGGAGATCGCACGCCTTCCAGCGCTTCCGCGGGGAACCTCGCCAGGACGCGAAGCCCAACTTGGGCAGCCTTTGGAGCGGCGCCTCTGGTTGCGGTGGTGGTGCTCACTGATTTAGGAAAGAGCTAACGAATTGGGTTTAGTCAGCGTTTAGAGGGCCACCTTGAGCCATTGCGCCACAACTCGAGTTGGAAACTCTAGTGGCGCTCAATATTAGGCCAAATTTGTTTTTCCTTCTGGGAAGCCTTGGGTATGTGTCCGAGAGGGTGAGCGCGCACGCACACCCACACTCGCTCGCTAGCTCTGAGCCGGGCGACAAGGGGCAGCGTCTGGGCACCAAAGCACATGTGGCTGGCTATCCAGTTGTCCTCTCTCACCCCGGGATCCTCTTGGCAGGAAGGATTAGCGAAAGGCTCGCTTCAGCTTACTCAGAGCTGCCACTGACTGAAGGGCCGACCCCAATGAATGATTAATGACAAGCGGGCCGGGTTTCAGGAAACCTGAGAACCGGGAATTTCAGTGTAGGCAAGGCCCCTACTGTCATTTATCTGAGAAATATATATACCTGACTTGCATTCTTGGAATATTTCCGTCTGAAAACACATTTTGAGGCTTTGAACCTAGCTCTGATACATTATGCATTGGTCATTTTAATGAAAAGGCTGTGATTTTAACAGATAAGGCCATTTCACATAAGCCAAGGTTGACGCTAAGATAGGGCATTATCCGTTATGGAGTACCCACTTAAGGATTCCCATTTCCATAATGAAGAGCATATAAAAAGCATGTAGGTTTTTTTTTTTTCAGGCCAGGAAATTGTCCCCAGCTAGAATACATAATATCAAGGCAGCTGTAAAAGGAAGTCACCTTGACAGCTTAGCAAAGCCACTGGCGAGAAAAAAGAGCACACCACTCATAGATGTGCATAGCTGGGCATAGTGCCCCTGAGACCATATATGAGATGCTGTCCTGGGCTGACAACCCCTTCTCTTCCCACTGTCCGAGGCTCAGGCTCTGTGCTTACCACTTAACTAGTTAGTAGGCAAAGCAATCCTGGACCTTGAAAACAGACCTGGTTGCTGGGAGTGGTTCCCTTGACCTCTTTCCAGGGTGAATAATTGTGAGATCCTCACATTGAACGCTGTGCCTTCTGCAAATGATGCCCTCGGGTCTGTGACAAAGCTGTCCATGGTCTAAGGCCTGATGGCGCTGCTGAATGCCACCAGCACGTTTTCCTGTCTGCCACTCAGTACACCTACCCACCTACCGAGCTGATGCCTCCAGTGGCAAAGATTTTCCAACGGAAATCTAGTTGTCTGTTCCCCCTACCCCAGGGCCCCTTATCTGCTGAAAGAGCAGGAGAGAGGATCCTGCCTCTGACACATTGCCAGTCCCACCCCAAACTGGGAGGGAGTTGGGGGAGAGAGACCACTCTGGGGCTAAGCTTCTGGAGCGAGATTCCAGCCTCTTATTTCTTCTTTGTTTCAGCTTTCAAGCCCCACGTCTCCTGAAACAGCCATTCTTGTATCTCTCCTTCCTGCAAGATTCCAATTGGAGATCAAATTTTGGAGTGATCCAGGTAGGCCAAGACACTTGCTTGGGCTTTAGTCCATTTCAACCTGAAGGATGGCAAGGTGCACTCCCACTTTCTCTGGGGTCCCCGGGCGAAGCTTTAGGAAGAGCTGGGCGCTTGCTAAGGGAAAGAAATCACAGGTTCTTGTGGGCAGTGATTGAATGTGGCAAATCAGACCACAAAGCCCCTTCTCAACTCTCCTGGGTACTAGAGGTTTAAAAAAAAGAATGTGTGCTCTTAGAACCGCATTGGCATGGTGTGGGGAAGCAAATCGGGTGGATGCCACTAACCTTGAAAAACCTATAACAAGAGTGTTATGTATTTGGACTTTTTTTAAGACCTGCAAACACTGAATTGTGAAAGAGGACAACACTGGACGAATTCTGCCGCTGAGCCTCCCAGCCGGATCCCTGCAGCTCCGCTCGGAGAGGAGCGGATCGCTGCGCGCTCCTTAGCTGCGCCTGCCCTGGCTGACTAGCCCTCTACACCTCCGCGCACTGCATCTCAGCTGAGCCGGTGTCTGGAAAATCGGCCTTCGGGAAAATTTCATTTCATCGTCTGAGCTTATCCCAGGCTCTAGTTCAATAAACTCCACTCGACAGAAAGTGCAAGCCTCAACCACGTTTTGTTTGCCGTGGTAGTAATCCATAGCTGTAGAAGTTACCCTGGTCCTTTCACAAGTCGCAGAGTCTAAGTCAAAGCCGCCAGGATAGGTGGATGTGCTTCTTAATTCCCACACTCTCCCAGCCCGGAAGCAAAGCTGGGGAGAAGGTTCACCTCCTGCTACCTTCGGAGAGGAAGGGAGTGGTTCCCAAAGACTAGTTCTCACCGCCACCGCCACCACCACCCCTGGAGAGGGGAAAGAAAAACTGTCAGGTGAATGCTTCCCACCAGCCACTTAGAAGCCAGGCTCTGAGTGCCTGCGTTATCTCTGGGCTGGAGGGCCCTGGGAATCCCCATGCGCAGCTCCTCAACCCTTTGGACAAGTTCAGAAGCCCCACCACCTTAGGCTCACCATTCCCAGGCCCAGAGTCTGAGAAACTGAGAGGAAGGGAAGTGAACAGCTATAGGTATGATCCAGTCAGTCACTAGCTACAGGAATCAACTCAAAACCTGTATCCTCAGGCTGACACCCAATGGCCTAACTGCCTAATAAGAGAGAGAGAGAGAGAGAGAGAGAGAGAGAGAGAGAGAGAGAGAGAGAGAGAGAAAGGAAGGAAGGAAGGAAGGAAGGAAGGAAGGAAGGAAGGAAGGAAGGAAGGAAGGAAGGAAGGAAAAGAAAGAAAGAAAGAAAGAAAGAAAGAAAGAAAGAAAGAAAGAAAGAAAGAAAGAAAGAAAGAAAGAAAGCCTATGTACAGGTCTCCCTTCCCTGAAGGGACAAGCTCTCCATTCACAAGCTTCCTCTGGTTGCACACAAACTCCAGACCCCGCCACCCCAGGCCAGTGCTCCCAAGGCAAGGCCTCCAGGGCCTGGTCGTCCCCCTGAGGCATCCTGCTGGGACTGAGGGAAGGCAAGGAGGTAGCTAGTAGGATAAGATGGGCAACCCTGGACAGTGCAAGACACAGTCCGTGGAGACTCTCCACGCCAGGAACTATGCTGCCAGGGGACTTGGCACACGCGTTTGTTCAGAGAGCCTCGGTCACTGCCACCAAATCTCAGCTCCTGGAGGCGACCACAGTCCATGAGGTTTGCCTGGTCTGAAGTTGGTTACCCTGGAAAACAAGGATGGATTTTCTTGGTTTGATACAAGCAGATAAGAGCCCAGAGGTTTTTACAATGTTCTCCTGCCAAAACTGGTTTGGCTCAGTGGATGGAGCATTGGCCTGTGGTCTGAACGAACCCAAGTTCAATTCCAGTCAAGGGTATGTGCCTTGGTTGTGGGCACATTCCCAGTGGGGGGGGGGGGCGTGCAGGGGACAGCTGATCGGTGTTTTGAGCTCTCTATCCTTCTCCCTTCCTCTCTGTAAAAAAAAAAAAAAATCAGTTATATATATATATATATATATATATATATATATATATATATATATATATATATATATATTTGTTCTCCTAAGTGAATTGCTTGAACCTGTCTCTAAAAGATCCTGTGGCCCTCCCTGTCCATTCCTGCACACACTCAGAGGCTGTGCCCAGATAGCAGGACCACTTTTCGCTAACCAGGTTCCTGGGGACTCCAGAGTGGCTTCTAGTCCCATCGCTGTTGAATGGAGGCACAGTTGTATTGTGGGAGGAATCAGGAGCTGCCCCTCTTGGGGCCTTCAGTTGACATTCTTGCCAGGACCCTCTATTTCCTCCAGGCCTGGCTGCTCACCAGCCAAGTTGGCAGCAAACACATAAGCAATAGCCTGTGGCTAAAGAAGCACTGAGCAGGCAGAGCGGGTAGGAAGGGCCAACTGTGAGAAGGAAACAAAGACTAAGCATGTACACGCAGGGTGAGGATGGTGTGAGGAGAAATTCTGCAGGTCCTGTGGTCAGAGCTCTTCCTCTTTCTCCAGGTTCTATTACTTCCGTCTGAGAAAGCAAGTGTTTAGAAATGGCCACAGGCAACTGGTCTTCTCTATATCTGTGGGGTCAGAAAGCAAACCAATGTTTTCTAGTAGAAAATGTTTTGTGACATAAATTGACTCAATGAAATCAGTTCCTTAAAAAAGAAAAAAAGTAACTGAAAGTTCATCAATGAAGCTCAACTGAGGCGCTTGCCAACTAGCTTCAGGTAGACCCACTCACTGGTTCCCACAGCACTCAGGCCCCTTGTTATCTCAGCACGCACTATGCAACTGCAGGACAGCAACCACTATTAGAGTGCCACTAGAAGCCCCTTTCCCTGGCTGTGGCCACGCAAAGAAGATGGAGGATGCAGTTCCTTGGGCTTGACTGAGTGCAAAAGTCATTTTTAAAGATCATGTCATCATCCCTTTTCCCCACTCTGTCCTTTGTAATGGGTTCTGTTCCTGGCACGTCTGTATAGAATAGGGGTGTCAAACTCAATCAGAGAAGGGGCCA